AAGTTTTTTAAAGATTTCTCAAGAACTACCAGGCCAATTTTAATATCCTTTCAGTATTAAGTACATTTTGATGAGCTTTACAACTTTTGTTAGAAGCCAAAGAGTGATTATTTAGTATAAAAAAAAGTTTTAGATACAGGCTCAGTGCATTTGCACTTATAGTAAAATTTATATATAAAAAAAAAAAATTTTTGTCCAGTTGACTGGAGAATTGCCTATTAAAGTATTTTATATTTAAATATTATGTTTTATATATTCTTATATTTAATTTAATTTAATTACAATCAGACCTCATTATAGTCACCGGTTTGGAAAACAAAATTTATATGACTATAAAAAAATATGACTATATTAAAAAAACTCAATATAATCACATTAATAGTAAATAAAACTATTTGGTGACTATATAAAGGTAATAAAAAAATTTTCTCACATGTGAATAAGCGGAAACGAAGTTTCCACTAATTCTATTATTATTATTATTATACTAGTTCTTTTTTAACTTTTTCTTTATATTATTAAGTTGCACAAACTGTAAGACTTCCATCTTCTAGTTTAGCATTTTCACATCTATTAACAGTTAAGGTTGGTCAATAGATCATATATTTATATACAGCTTGGTTCCAATCTCAACTTGGATTATATAAAATACAGTAAATTCAGTAATCTCATAAGGGTAGTATATTTGTAGAGTTAGATAGGTTAGAAGTTATACGATACTAAAACATAACTATATTTTATATTCAATATATTTTTAAATGTGAAAAAGTTTATGGCTTTAAAAGTATAGTACCAATGGAGCAGACAGAACTATTTTAAGGTGATAATCATATGGGATAGATATGCAAATATAATTTGTCAGTAGCTTTGTCTTCTATGATAGTTGTAATTAGAGGAGTTAACACAATGCAATTATGGCATTGCGTCAACACCTCTAGTTATGACTTCTTGAATGCTACTATATTATCTTACAACAGTTAGGTTCTCTTGTCTCGGTAGAATGAATTTCCAATAATCAATTTATATAGCAGACTTAGTGAATATATTGTCTAGTATAGTTAAAGCATATATTAGCTTTAGCAAATATATCTATTGCGTATATAGTATCGCAATTGAAATTTTGACATATACATTCATTATAGTGAATATATACACAAATAATTTTCCCTTATATTAATTATAGGCTAGAGATCGAATGAAAATAATTTCAACTATGAAAGATCATAGTAGCTAAGTTTCTAATAAAAGCAATAAATTCAATTGGTATACTTTATAATAACAAATTTAAAACTTTATTTATTTATATATATTTATATTTTAGAAATATGAATTTTGAGAATAAAGAAAATTCGAGTCTTGGAAATACGAATCATGGGAATACGAATCTTGTGGGTATAGTTTTTAAGAATACGATTCTTGAGAATCTAATTCTTGAGAATCTGATTTTTGTAAATCTAAATCTTGGAAATGAGGACCTTGAGAATATGGATCTTGAGAATAGGAGTCTTGTGAATATGACGAATCTTGGAAATATAGATCTTGGGGTATGTATTCTGAGAATATGAATCATAAAAATGCGAACCTTGAAAATTAAAAAAACTAGTAATTTTTTTTTGTTTTTTCGATTTTTCATATACACGTTTATATTCTTTAAGCAGATTTCTTAAAAATCCTAGTTCTTTGAGAAAAATATTTGACTCTGAAATTTCTTGTTCTTCATAGCGAATAACAGTTCATATTGCATTAAATACTTCAGCAGCTGTTACAGATGAATTAGGTACTTCATTTTTATCAATTTCTTGCCTAGTTGATTCTTCATTTTCATCAGCTTGAAGCATAGATATTATCTCATCATCATTAAGTATTTCTTCTGTAGCAACAGATTCGTCAATTATTTGTAGATACGTTGTTATGGCTTGAGCTGTCTCTGGCGCATATAAACTTACATCTGGTAAGTTAGCAACTATTTCCTCAATTTCATTATTTTCTAATAGAATTTTGCCTTCAGCAAGTTGATTTACACTATCCAACTTGGATTATTCATATTTGGGAGAATTCTTGTCTTGTTCTGAATAGTTGTATTACTTACATTGTCCTATGATTCTGCAATAAAATCAATTGCTTTCTTTATAGTTATTTTTTTCTACAAGAAAAAAAATAGAAGCAATAATAACAAATTATACTATATTCTCACGGATAATACACAGAGACATTATTTCGAATTTTGGTCCAAATTACGGCCAAATTTTGAAATAATGTTTCTGTGTATTATTCCGCGAAAATATGGGACCTTTGCTAGGAAAATTACTCTTCGAGATTTTCCAACCAGGCAAATTCAGACAAACTTAGACTAGAACACCAGCTCTTATTTACATATAAATTAGTCTTTACTTTATTAATTCTATAGTTTATTAAATAAACTATAGATTCAATAAAGTAAAGGCTAATTTACATGTAAATAAGAACCGGTGTTCTGGTCTGGTAATAATTATGTAGTACAAACTCTTCTATATTAGCATTGGATTTGAATTGCTTGAGAGTGTATTTACATTTTGACTTAAATGACTTGATTATACCAGCATCCACTGGTTGGATATGAGCAGTTGTGTGGGATGGAAGATAATGCAGGGTAATATTTGTAAGCTTCAACATCTTAGAAGGTTGTTTGTTTCATCTGCGAGAAAAATTGGAGTTGGTTCTTGTTCTTCCATGTGTGCTTCCGTGAGACCTTTCACGTGGCCTTCTACGTGTGCTTCTGCGTGGTCTTTCATGTGTGCTTTTACATTGCTTTCCAAGTGACCTTTCAGTTTTATAATTGTCTATGGAGTCAGATAAGTTATCCATTAAGACTTCATTTTCAGAATTTAACTGATTATCATTGACTTCTACATTATTAACACTAACTGTTTTATTCATATTATCAGGTAATTTAGGTGAACTATAAGATGGTGTATTGTCTACAAGTAGCAAAATTTTTCTATCTTGAATGCGAAACTCAGAATCAATATAATATAGCCATTTTTTCCAAATATCTGTTCTCATCCATGCTCTTTCATTATTTCTATAGGTGACTGGAAGCTGTGACAAGTTTATATTGCTAAAGCTTCGTGGCTTTTTCGAATGACTGATGACCAGGGGCTGAAGTTTGTGTGAACCAGTTGCATTCACAGCAAGTAGAACCGTAACCCGTGATTTATCCTGTAATAGCACAATTTAATAAGTAGATTAATTAAATATTTAAGATTTTTTTTTATACCTGTTTTGACCCAGCAACAGGCCACTTCACTAGTGTTTGGTTTGGTAACATGCGGTAGAACAACCCTGTTTCATCAGCATTATATATATCCTCTAACTTATATTGAGAAAAAAGATTCTGGAGCCTGATTCTTTCATTTGGCAGAGATTTTAAAGGTGCACTTGCAGCTTTATCGTAAAGTTTATACCGACGCAAAGAATTTCACTTTTTATAATTAGTTACCCACCCATTCGAAAACTTTAGTTCATCTTCTAAAATGCCAAGGAGGCTTCCAAATTCACGGTCTTTTGATTTTACCAATTTATTAGTAAGAATTAAACCTGTAGCCGAAACTTGCCCAACCCAAATATTTATTGCTCTTTCAATTAAAGAGTACTTCAGCCCTCTATTTTTATTCTGTGTTGCAGTATTTTTTCAATGTGCAAATACTGATCTTTTTTTTAAAAAATTTTAGTAACGGTTGATCATTCAAGATTTAATTCGAGATATCTTCTCTTAAATTCATCTGCAATATCTTGGTGCTTTGCAGATGGGTTCTTAACATGGTATTTGCAAATTTGTTTGTATTAGGCATTATTTAGTTGGCTATGTGTTTTTTTGAGCATTTGGCTAGAAAGCATAATAAAAAAAACGTTTATTATCTCTTAAGATAAAATTCAGTTAAATGTTTCTATAACTTTAAATTCACTCTTTTTATAATCATTTAGGTGCACATTTATTTTATCGCTGTTTCGAATTAGTATGATAAGTGGATTTTGTGAATCCTATGAATTCTACATATTGCTATTGTTAAAACAATGGTAAGATGCAGGATTTATATGATTCGCAAAATTTGCTTATCGCACTAACTCGAAAACAGCAATGAAAAAATTTAAAATACAAGAGAATAAATGCATTCATGCACATAATTCTTATATGCATTTTTCCTACATCAATATACAATGAGATCAATTTTACTTTTTGTTTCTGAAGCATTTAATTTTATTTAATCTCACTATTTTTTCACTTCTTTTATTTTAGATTTCCACAAACAACACTTCAGCCCATTCCGGGACCTTACCTATTTTTTATTTATTATTGATTACATTTTAAGCGATGATATTATTATTTTCTTTTATATTTTTTTATTTATACTATTGTTCCTTAACTAACCCTAATTATTCAACAATATTACTATTTATTCAAACAATGTTATCATTTTTTACCATCTTATTCAAACAATGTTACCGTCCATTAAGCTAGCTCTGATATTTGATATTAATAAGGAAATCGGTATTGATTATTCAGGTTAGAAAATGTTTTGTATTATGTTTAAAAGTTTTGAACATCAATTTTGGATGCCTCTATCAAGAACGTATCTACTCCAAATAATAAAAATCAATTAACAAGTATTTAAGAGTTGGTGCGTTCTTGATAGGGATATCCAAAATTGATGTGATTAGGTCTTTCATAATTACTAGAACGAACTGCATACATTGCAACTTGGATATACTAACTTTATTGAGTAGTTAATCAAGGGACCTTTTCAGCAATTCAAACTTTTTCAGCAGTATGGTATTGTAATGAGTAAATTAAATGAAGTTATATTGTGGTAAATATAGTATATACTATCAAAGAGTCTTGATTGCTAAAAGAGGCCAAGATAACTAAAATAAATTTGGTACGTAGAAATGTATGTCGCAAAGTTGGAACTAGTTCCGGGTCCAATATAGATTGAGATAAAAACTAAGCCAAGCTTCTAATAATTGATCAAAGTGTAAAAAGACACTATCAAATTATTAGAGCTCTAGATAACATCATGATACAGTTGCAGATTTATACCAATTAGTGCTAGTCTTTTTACTAATTGGAAAGGATAATTTAGTCGATTTATATTTTTATTGCTGTTTTCGAATTAGCGTAATAACTGAATTTTGTGAATCTTATAATTTTGCATTTTACTATTGTTTTATGTAATATGTGCAGGATTCATAGGATTCACAAAATTCGCTTATTGCACTAATTTGAATGATTTATGAATTTAAGAATTCAATGAAAATTTCGGGTTAGAATTTTTCTAAAATGAGATGCTATAAGCGTTACTAGTCAATAGAGATAGGTCACAAAACCCAAAGCTTCCTAAACTCTAGTTTTGTACACAATATTTTTTGCCTAAATTCCAAAATGATGCCGAATCCTAAACAATGATTTTAAATTTTTACATAAAAAAAAATTCGCAAGGACACAAGTAATCAGTGTTCTGATACATTTTGACTGAAATTTTGGGATTTTCCTGCGGGTAATCTTGTATTATTGCTAATTTTTAGATAGGATAAATCAATAAAAATCTTTGGATGAGGTTAATTAGATTTTTATAGTGTTTATAAATTAAAAGTATGTGTTTAATTAAATTATTTTCTGACACTATAATTTTTTGTGACTATATTGAGGTAATTTAAATAAGGTTGGTTATAGAAACTTGTGTGATAGTAACTATAGTGGATTTGTAACTATATCAAGACTAATACAATATAAATTAGGTTGGTAAAAAAAAATAGTGATTATAATGAGGTTGTGACTATAATGAGTGTGACTATAACGAGATCTGACTGTATTTTAATTGTTTTTTTGCATGTTTAATATAATTTATTTTATTTAGTTTTATTTATTTTTAAATTTTTAAAAATTTTTA